GAAAGTTGACAAAATTTTAAGGGACGGAGGGAGTACTACGTAATAAATAGTTTTTATTTTTTTCATAAATGTTGGTTTTTTCCAGAAAGCAACTATTTTCCCTGTTTTCAAGCACAAGCCAACCTCGGAGCTTTTCTATTGTCTTCTTTAATCAGTAATATACAAATATCATCATCAGTATTATACAAATATCTATTCTAAAAAATATTCTCTCATAATCCTATTACTCCTGACCTTCCGTCATGTGCAATGGAGTCGAAGACTCACTATTTTTTGGCTTGGGAATATGATAGAATAAAGCAAAATGACTTACTAAATTGTATGCGCTTCTTTGTTATGAAGCAATATTCACTCTATGCAATTTTCGGCGTGATTTTCGGTATGGGCCATACGGAAAAAATCTCCCTGTGCTTTAGTACATGGGTAAGACTGGATACATTTGACCCCCCCTTACCCCACCGAAGGTGTGGTAGCCTTTGCGGCACCGGGGTAATGATGATAATGATGATGATGAATCCTACTACTCCTGACTCCAAAGCATATGAACTCCTCCTTCACGAGTTGGGATGTTTTTACTTGGACTGTTTTCAGTCCCAAACCAGACCAGATCAGAATAGACCAGACTTGGACAATTATAAAATACATAGAGATCAGCTGGTTGTGAGGTTACCGTGCCTAGAGGGAGGTCTCGAGTTCGAAACCAGCTAGGCACACAAGGGTGCGAAACTCAATGGAGTGAGTTTCAGACCTGCTTACTCCAGGCTCCCCCCAACCCCCCTCCCCAGACCCCCCGGAGTAAAAAAAAAGACATTTACCATACCAATCAGACCAGGTCAAAAAATTTCAGTCCAAGTAAACACATCCTTGATTGCCAATAATCATCCCAAGTCAATTGATATGCTTGTCCCTCTCTGTAAAACAAAGCATCCTTTACATTCTCATTTTCTTGTGGCAATAATCTTTCAAGATTGTGTGTTAGATATATATATTCCTGGGTTGATTATCTAGTTTATGTTTGCTGGTTACAATCACACATATTTGCATACATATTTGCTTGTGTGTGCATCTGCACATATGTAGTTATTCATTATATAGCCTATTTAACAGTGCCCCATGATACAGGTTCTATTTTGACTTCAGTCCTACGTACATTGGGTGTGGCCTTATCTGCTCTCACATAGTCAACTGTTCAGTTCTTCTTGGAGCAATTATATCGTGGGGTTTCCTTTGGCCATTTATTTCTCAGCGTGCTGGTGATTGGTATCCATCAGATCTTGGGAGCAGTGATTTTAAAGGTCTCTATGGCTATAAGGTAAGTTCTATTGGACATGGTTTTTGAGTAAAAGTTAGATCTCCTCCCCACTTATCTTTTATATCAATTAAATCAAAATCGTTTTTTATGGAAGTGTTGGCCTAGGGAACTGATAAACATGATGTACTAGAGTCAAGATATTGTTGAATATATCTTCAATACAGGCTTTTTTATCAACAATATATGATCAGACCATATTTCCCGCTTGTGTATTTGTTTCCAGGTTTTTATAGCTATTTCTCTTATTCTTGGTGATGGTGTTTATAACCTGATCAAGATAATTGTAATCACTGTAAGGGAAATGTGCAGAAGTAGCAGCAACCAGAATAATCTTCCTATGACCGCAGAGCTCTCAGGTGAGGTTGATGGAAACTTTTCCCTACCCCTGTAATAATTGCTTTAGGTAGTCTGAGTATAGCTCAAGATAGATAATAATTAGAAAACTGTAGAGCATTCTGTTCAATGCATAATGTACACCCAAGTCACATTCTTGCTTGCTATATCTGAAAACTGACCCAAAATGCGCATTCTAGAGGAGGCTCTCTATCTCCTCATGTCATTTCCAATTATCTGGTTTGGTCCAAGCTGCAGTCACTCCTCACTCTAATATTAACATTCCTTGTGTCATATTTTGAAGACGAAACCTTGAGCCTATGGAAGATAAATAGTAGGCTAAGGATTAACGAAGCATTTGCAAAGGAAGGTAGTGATGGCAGCTTACAATGAGGTAGTCATGTTAGGTTGAAGGATTTATCAGCCGTTGGAATCCAATAGTATATCAGACTGAGCCGTCCGTCTGGCAGGGATGTAGATAGAAATTATGTATTTTGCCATACAAATTATCTATCTTTTCCATCCTATGAAGGTTTTTTCGTTTATTTGAGAGAGTTTCAGTTTATTACACCTTGATATGATTTTTATGATTTGGTCTAAGCTGGTCTAAATATTTATTGACTAATCTGATAAAAATCTTACTGGGCAGATGCTGATTTTTCTGATCTTGTCGATTTTTATTGTCTCAAATGCGCCCTCCGTATTATATTACTTGTCCTTATTAGGTTTTCAGAAAGAGTAAGAGAAAAATAGTAGAGATAGTAAATAGCGGAGAAAGAAGTGTAAAAAGTATGAAGGATAAGATTAAGTAGTTGGAAAAGTACTGAAGAGAAGATGAAAATGTAAAGCTAAAAGTTACCAAAACTGGAAAATGAATAATAAAATACTTTTTAGAAAAAATAAGTAACAACCATAATCATACGTAGGGACTAGTGTGATGATCTGAATCTTTCTTGTATGGGGGTTTGATTTGCTCTCGATCTTCTTGGTTTGGTCTGAAGTCTGAGATAAGTGGTCTAGTCTCGGATTTGATTATGGGTAATAAGAAAAAAATAAGAACATAACAAAACCTAAATCTTCTTGTAGTATCTGAGGTTTTCTAACGATTCCAATTGATGCATCTACAGATGGTAATACTTCCAAGTCACAACTTGAGCAGACAAAAAGAGACGTATTTCTGAAAGATGGGATACCGTTATGGGTTGCAGCTTCTGGATATGCAGTATTAGCTTCTATATCTACAGTCACAATGCCAAATATCTTCCCTCCACTTAAGTGGTATTTAGTTCTTTGCGCCTACATAATTGCCCCTGCCCTTGCCTTCTGCAATTCCTATGGTACAGGACTTACCGACTGGAGTTTGGCCTCAACTTATGGGAAGATTGGTCTATTCACAATCGCTGCATTGGTTGGTGGAAGTGGAGGTGGGGTTATAGCTGGGTTGGCTGCCTGCGGGGCCATGATGTCCATAGTGTCTACAGCTGCTGATTTGATGCAAGATTTCAAGACTGGTTACCTCACACTGTCATCGGCTAAGTCAATGTTTTTCAGTCAGTTAGTTGGCACAGCAATGGGATGCATTATCGCTCCACTCACATTTTTCATGTTTTGGAATGCTTTTGACATTGGGTCCCCTGACAGTCCATACAAAGCACCATATGCTGTCATATACAGAGAAATGGCCATTCTTGGAACTCAGGGCTTCTCTCAACTCCCTAAGCATTGTCTGGTTATATGTTGTGGATTCTTTGTAGCAGCTCTGGTCATAAACTTACTGAGAGATCTAACCCCACCAAAGGTTTCACAGTTCATCCCCATTCCAATGGCAATGGCGGTGCCATTTTATATAGGTGCTTATTTTGCAATTGACATGTTTGTTGGAACAGTGATCTTGTTCGTGTGGGAGAGGATTAATAGAAAGGATGCCGAAGATTATGCTGGGGCTGTTGCTTCTGGTTTAATTTGTGGTGATGGGATTTGGACTGTTCCATCAGCCCTTCTCTCCATATTTAAGATCGATCCGCCTATCTGCATGTATTTTGGACCTTCTGCGACTACCTGATAATTGATACTCCGCAAAAAGTAGGAAACAATAGCTTTTGCTTGTTTCTTGAATACTGGAGTGGATCGGAATGCTGCTCCGAGCAAGGTCCCTTCAAACTCTTAGTTTAGCCTGTACATTTTGCATGTGTTGTAATATTATTTTAGTGCATGTTTGGATACTTTATGAAACTAATCATTCCTTATTTGTCCTTAATCCTCAAGTGTTAATGTGTATGAAATTTAAAACACTTGTGATGTGCCATTTAAGCTTTTGTAACTGTTATTTGTATTGTGTATATCAAGCACAGACACATACACATGTTTGCTTCAAATGATGCATTGATATTATGATGAGAAATGAGAATTGACCATATAAAAGATCATCAAAAGTTGAGGGTTGAGATTTACATATAGATTTATAAGAAACAAGGGTGACCTACCTTGGAAGATTTTTTAAGGATGAAATGTGGCATCAGCTTTGAAAATATGTCAATATGCAAATGATGTGCCACTGCTTTTGTAACTGTTATTTGTATTGTGTATATCAGGCACAGACACATACACTGATACACATGTTTGCTTCGAATGATTAATTGATATTATGATGAGAAATGAGAATTGACCATATAAAAGATCATCAAAAGTTGAGGCTTGAGATTTACATATAGATTTATAAGAAACAAGAGTGACCTACCTTGGAAGATTTTTTAAGGATGAAATCATGAAATGTGGCATCAGCTTTGAAATTTGAAAATATGTCAATACGCAAAGGATGCACCTCTCTATATTTGCAACTAAGATTATTATGGAGTGTTACCAAGTGCATCATGTAAGATATTATGATACCTTAGACTAGGCATGGACCCGGTTCGGGCCGCCCGGCCCGGGACCGGCCCGGCCCACCACTGTGCGGGCCCAGAACCGGCCCGGTTCTCGGGTCCGGGTCCGGGTCCAGGTCGGGCCTAGGCCCGGTGGGGGGGGGGGCGGGTCCGGGGTCGGGCCTTGTATTTGGCGAACCGGCCCGGCCGGGTCGGGCCCGGGCCCGGGCCAAAAATTGTTTTTTTTTTTTCATTTTTTTGGGCTTTATTGAGTTGGGCTTGATGTTTAGGACCGGTTTGGGGGGTTTGGGGGGGTGGGGGGTGAGGGGGGGGGGGGGGGGGAGAAAAGAAAAAAAAAATAAACTAACCGGGTGGCCCGGTCCGGCCCGGAACCGGTGGCCACCGGTTCGGGCTCGGGCCCAACAAAACAGACCCGAGGCCCGGCCGGGCCTAGGCCCGAACCGGGCCCAAACCGGCCCGGGTCCATCCATACCTTAGACAAGAGTGAGGCAAAGATGTAATAAACTGTAGATGTCACTTTTTTTAATTTACCAAATACTAAGTTATTTGATCAGGTATACAAACAAATACACTAAGTCAAGCTTTTCATACATCGGAATGGGATAAGCCAATATACTTATTTATTTATAGTACGTGTTAATAATCCAGAACCAAAATGGAACTAATACTTTATTCTTATTAGGCATGGCCTCGGTTCGGGCCGCCCGGCCCGGGCCCGGCCCGACCCGCTACTGTGCGGGCCCGGCCCGGCCCGGTTATCCGGGTCCGGGTCCGGTTCGGGCCGGAGGCCCGGGGGTGGGGCGGTTCCGGGCTCGGTTCATGGTTTTGACGGCCCGGCCCGGCCGGTTCGGGCCCGGGTCCGGGCCAAATCTATTTTTTTTTTAATTTTTTTCATTTGTTTTAGGCTGTTGGGCTTGGGCTATGTGTTTAGGCCGGTTTGGGGGGGTTTGGGGGGGGTGGGGGGTGAGGGGGTGGGGGAAGAAAGGAAAAAAAAAAAAAAATTAAACCGGGTGGCCCGACCGGCCCGGCCCGGTCCGGCCCGGAACCGGACCCGGAACCGGTGGCCACCGGTTCGGGCTCGGGCCCAACAAAAAAGACCCGAGGCCCGGCCGGGCCTAGGCCCGAACCGGGCCCGAACCGGCCCGGGTCCATCCATAATTCTTATTAACATTTTTCTTTTTACTAACATTTTCTGGGATCAAAACGTAGCCTCAAAGAAATGCTAAGCAGACGGCACTGATGGATTTCAGTGGAAACAGTACATTCACATGATGTTATGATCCAACCTGGACTATCCATTGAGTGACTCCATGGTATTTCACGTTAGCTGATTCGAATAAAATTTGCATCATCCGCAAACCTATCACCAGCAGTTGGGGGCAAGTAGTTATGGTGAGAACGAGGTTGACCAACCTGAGCATGAGTTTCCGCTTCATGCTGGAACACCTTGACTAGAGTTTGCAGTTCTAACTTTCTGACTTCAACCTCCTCTTCGCTAACTGGCCTTTTCAGCCCCAGGTATATCAACCCAACAATGATCAGCAAAATGCCTATTAAAACAAGGATCCCTGTGAACAGACCAAATGCATATGGCGTATTACTAGCACCGGGGATTCCGTCTACGTTGATTCCAAAAAGCCCTGTTATGATCGTTAGAACGACTCCACATCCACCAAACACCGCCAAGTTATGAGTAACTCTAAGGCTTCTATCCTGGTATAAAATGGAACATAGTCAAAAGCACCACCCCTCAATCATTCATTTATGATTCATGTACTAGAGAACAAATTTGGTTCTAGAATAGATTGTTGAATATTTTTTAACAATTTCCCAAATCTAATAATAACCCATCCAATAAATGCTCCTTTTGTGCTCCGCTATTGGAGTTTTATGGATTCAGATTATCCATTAAATACCAGAGCGGTTGAAAGTTGAAACTATCAACCTGACTTATAAAATCATGAATTCCGGTTTTTTCATAATTTTCTTTTTATTAATTTATCCAAAGGAAATTTCATAAAAATTAATATTAAAATGATTACACACTCCGTAATGTATAATGATTCCTTGTGATTCAATGATTCAGATCCTGAATCGATAGTTTTAGCCTTTTTTATTTCTTCTGCAAAGATGGCTAACATATGAATCAATAAAACTTCAATAGTAGCAGATGGGCTTCCATATTTGTAAACAAACCTGCAGCCACGCACGAATATTGCTCTGCATGACATCCTGGATAGTAAATAAGCGTGCTCGTACTGCTTCCTGTTCTTCAATCATCTCCCTTGTACTCTTCTGTATTCCTTCCAGCAGGCTTCTTGTTGCATTCCCCCTCAAATGTTGGAGCAGCTCAAAAACTATCTCCTCCCTTGCATGGAGAGACCACTTCACTCTAATAACCTGAAATTCATGCAGTAGTCGGTAGGAGTCTAGGAGATGAAAAGTTTAATTCCCCGCCGCACCAACCTATGCACCTAAGATTCCTCTTTGGGTCTCTATCCTATGCACCACTTTCACATGAGTCCCTTCTCACCCCGGAATATTCTTTATGAGATCCTAATGAAAGATACAATTTAGATGCATAACTGATAATGTGCAGATCAACTTCCATTTTTAGATCCATCCACAAAGGATTTTATTTTACTGATGTGGATACAAACATCTGAGCCAGGGAAGAATTGGTCCGAGACTGACATTCAAAGTGGTTGATCAGGTGGCCTGTGCTATCGTGACTGACTTGCAATTGAATCTAGCAGCCCTATCCATTTTATCACTGTTATTTACTTATTCAGTCTATTAAGATTCTATATTTCTATTTAATTAATATTAGTAGCTTTATGTTTTTTATGATTAGGAGTCTTACAGTAGCTATTTAAGATTTTAAGGGTCTCAGTTTTGATCAATAAGCAGTGGATCGGTAGGCTTATCTGCTTCCACATGCTGGTCAACGCCCAGCTTTAGGCCGACCATTTGGATTTGGCCGCGCAGGGGCACCACGTGGATATAACTCTCAACCCAATCCTCAACCTCGTGCTTAAAAAAATAACCCGCCAGAACTGATCCATCCAAATGTGATATTGGACTCCATATAATAGGTCATAAGGGAATGTCCAGGCTGAGACAAGTTTTTTTTTTTTGAATAGGCTGAGACAAGTTATGATGCGCAATTTCATCATCAAGAGTTATCACACATGCTCATCAAAACATGTCACAGTGGACTCTTTAAGTTTCTCCCCAATATCATGAAGAAATTAATGCCTCTATGAATGGGTTGAAATGCAAACCTGTCTTGATAATCTCCTGATTTCCTGGTTAAGGATTATGCCAAACAGGTTTAGATCTTCCTGGTTCCTCCTACACATAAAAAATCCTTGATAAAACGGTGTCTAAGTAAGGGGAATCATTTTTCCTAAGATACTAGAGAAATGCAACTTGCAATACCTCACAACAAATTTCAACTCTACTTCATCAGCAGCACCAAATATTGATTTACGAAATAATCTGCACGCAGAACATAAAATTTATAACAATCTTCATATGATACTAATCAATGAGCAAATCTGGAGCATGCTGACTTCTGTACTTGGAGCACTAGTGTAAGCCACATTCCGTTATTTCACCTATGACGTTATGAAAGAGTGGTTATTACCTGTCATCCCAACGTGCTAGCCGGCTGGCTAAATGTGCGATTATCTCATGTATGGTCCGTGGTGTATTATAACCACCAGCAGAAAGAAGTTCCTAAAATGAAGTACAAACAACAAGCTAAATAGTTGAGCAAATGCAAGCTCATAGAAGATAATAAAAGTAATATAACCACAGGTATTGACACAAAATAATCTGCTGCTAAAACAAAGATCATCCCTTTTTTCATAATATATGCCTAACCTAAAACTGCATGAAATTTCAAAACTCAAAACGCAATGGCCAAGGAAACAGGATAGGAAGTCCTTGAAGAGAAAACCTGAACTTCTGTAATTCCCAAAACGTTCATGCTTTTGGATGATCCTTTCACATGCAAAGCACTAATTAGAAAATTCTGAACTTGAAAAGAGCGAAGTACAATTGGAATGTCATCTTCATCATTATATGGATCACCAGCAGATTGCCCCAACAACTCAAATAGTAACCCTCCAGCAACTCTGACCGGAACCTGAACAAAATGAAAGCACATCAAAATAATGATTTCCCTCTTTTATATCCTTGTGCTCAAGCTCTGATATTTCATTTAAAAATGGATATTAATCGGGGTCAGGCAGGAATTCAGGCCAAAAAGGAAATCACCCCCGAGGCCCCAATTCATAGAAGGCCTGACTTGTCATCCATTATTAAATCAAATCAACAGGAAAGGAATTAGGTTAAATAACTTCATCACCTACGACTCATCCCCTACACTCCTAGAAACTGTCTCAGTTCTGACTCTCTTTCTTGAAATTCTCTTCATCACTCAACTTTTCTGTCTGAAAACATATAAAAGCCTAATTACATTTTTTGCCTAAGGCTATATTCAAGGCCCTGAAGTTAATGAACAGTTTGTCAAAGCTAAACTGCAAGACGAGCTAAGGAACTTTTCTACCTCGTAGAGCAGGTGTTTCATCTTTTCACTAATCAGCCGACTCTCATCTCTTAAAGCAATGCTAATTGCTGGATGCAACCAATCAGCATTGCTAAGCCATGATTCAACAGAAGGATGAGCAGCAGCGACATGACACCACCATATGGGCCCTGCAGGACGTTCCCAGTATGGAATAGCTACGTCGGCAACAGTTAGGTCATTTTCCTCACCCCTAAAATCAAACTGCTGATCAGACCATCTAGAATCAACCTGCACCATCTGAACAAGTTCTGAAATTCTAACCCAACCAATAGGAACCCAACAGCTTCCAGAGAGTCTATCCACAGCATCCACTGGTGCATTATCCTGATTTCCCAAAACTATTGGAGGGGTAGATTCATGTCCTCCATGAGTGGACACTTCTGTTTTAGCATATCTATTATCCGTCTCAGTGTGCGAAAAGCTTTTGGAATAAGATCCTTTCCTGCCGGTTCTGCTTCGTCCATGAACAAATTCAAAAGCACAAATAAGCCCATCAGTCCATAACTCATTCCTCTGCGTAGGATCATTATAGCCATGCCCCCTATAGCTCTCAGCCTTCTTTGACCTACCAGGCTCAGATGAGTGGTCCTCACCCATGGTCACAGTTGCTGAATAAACTACGCCTAGAAAAATCAGCACAAGTTACACATTTGGTGCAATATGCATTAAATAGAGTTTTTGCACAAGCTACACGCAAATCAGCATTTCGCACTCAATAGAACAGCACTACGGCAAGATATTCCCACAAAGTATACGCCAATCAAGCTGATTCATTTATAGATTACTCGTTAATTGCGGGAAGCAATAATGTTGAGGCAATGGAAAGGAACCGTGACAGTTGTAGAAGAAGCAAAAGATGAACTGTGGATAGAGAACCCGGATTCTTTTTCATTTCCTGAAGCTTCTGTCTCCTAATTCAATATGAAAAGCAGAGGTTGACTGATATATCAGCGAACAGTAATATGGTTGCTTTGCTTTCAGAGAAAAACGCGATCAACTTCGCACTGTAAACTGTTCTTCACGATGAGAGCTGGGATTCGACTTGTTAGTTACTCTTCAGACCATATGCTTTCTCATCAGTGCGATGCAAGGTGGAAATAAATATCTTTATATTAATTTAAAAAATTGAAATAAAAAATGACACGTCAAATATTTTCCCTCGAGGGACAACAAAAAAATCATGTTATTCCACCTAAGATAACATGAAAACATTTCAATATTTTGAAATACTTCCTTATAAACAACATTTGTAGTCTCATTTGAGCTTCACCGCTATCCTCTAGAATTGTTTATATCCATAATAATTTCCAAAGTAGTACTCTGTAGTATATATGATGTGTTTTCACACCACTGCATTATTGCCTAATACTCATACACCATTAGAATTATACTTGCTTTAGTTGCTCATTTTAATTGGGAATTAAAACAGATGGATGTAACTACAGTTTTTTTGCATGGTGATCTTGATAAGAATATTTATATGCACCAACCTGAGGGTTTTGTTGACCCTAAATTGCCTGACCATGTGTGTTTGTTGAAAAAAACTTTGTATGGTTTAAAACAATCACCTAGGCAATGGAATATTAAATTTGACAAGTGCATGCAATCTTTAAAATTTTCTAAGAGCTCCGCTGATCATTGTCTGTATTATAAAAATATTGGCTCTGCGCCTATATTTTTATTACTCTATGTGGATGACATGTTAATTGTTAGTCCTTGTTTGAAGTCTATTGAGCATGTCCAAAAATCTCTTCGTGAAAACTTTGACATGAAAGACTTAGGCGATGCTAGGAAAATTTTAGGCATAAGCATTATCAGGGATAGAAAGAAATCTACTCTAGTGTTGAATCAAAGTTCATACATTGATAAGGTCTTGAGAAAATTTTCTATGTCCGATGCTAAATCTGTGAATGTGCCTCTAGCCTCTCATTTTGTGTTAAGTAAGGATCAGTCTCCCAATTAAGACAGAAACAGAAATGAATGAAATGAAAAATGTGCCTTATTCGAATGCTATAGGATCTGTCATGTATCTCATGGTTAGTACTAGGCCCGACATTGCATATGCGGTTAGTTGTTTGAGTAGATACATGTCTAATCCTGGAATGCCTCATTGGAATGCCTTGAAATAGCTTTTAAGGTATTTGAAATATTCTGTGGATGTTGGTTTGACTTTTTAATTTCTAAGTGCTCTAAAGGTGTTAAATTAATTGGTTATGTTGATTCCAATTATGCTAATGATAGAGATAATAGAAAGTCTACAACTTTTTATGTGTTTACTCTGTGTAGTTCTTGTGTGAGTTGGAAATCTCAACTTCAACCTATTGTTGCTCTATCTACTACCGAGTCTGAGTATGTTGCTGCCACAGAAGCTTTCAAAGAAGCTATTTGGCTTAGAGGTCTTTTGCATGAAATTAATTTTCTTGACAAAAATGTGGTTATATTTTCTGACAGTCAATCTGCTATTCAATTGTGTAAAAATCCTGTTTTCCATGATAGGACTAAGCATATTGATGTTAGATTTCATTATATTCGAGATATTGTTGAAAAGGGAATTATAAAATTAGAGAAAATTCCTTCAGAATTTAATCCTGCTGACATGGGTACTAAATGTTAACCTGTTGAAAAATTTGTTTCGTGTCAAAAGATTTTAAATTTTGATTTTGGATGAATTTTTTCTGTGTTGCATCGGTTTACTATTAACTTACCTAGTGTTTGTTAATAGTTTGGTGTTGGTGTCCCTTCGAACTCGATGACCGTTATGGTAGAGTAAAGTCCTTTATGGACTCGGCAAGCTTGGTGTGTTGTCCCTTTGTGATCCGAGAATACATGGGGTATTCTCTTATATTACTTGTATAATCTTTGCGATAATACTTGTAATAATTCGGCGTTGATGAGTCCGCGGTTCCGTGAATTGTCTCAGTGCACTACCTTGGGCCAAAGGTGGAGATTGTTAATATATTATTGGCCCAAATAGCCTTTGTATATTAATAATTGTTGACAACCTATTCAGCAACTCACTACTCTTACTCCAGTTACCAGGCTTGGGTTATTTCTCCTGTTTTGAATCTGTCCAGATTCATTATTTGAGCAAATAATGTGATGTGTGTGATTGAGTGTCCCTACATATCTGCCAACCCATGTCAACCCATACTCCTCTAGCTAATAAGCCAAACCCCTCTGTTCGATGTTGACTTCCTAGCATGTGCAATTGTTTTTTGAAAGTCCGCAGCACCTTCTTCCTCTTCTCTTGTGTGTTGTATAAATCTATCAACATTTTAGACCTTTGAGAGTGTGGTGAAAAAAAATGAGAAACCAGCTCTCTGTGAAGCTGAGTAAGAGTAGTGTTGGAAGGTAGAATAGGTTGTTGCTCCCTTAGCCTTAGTGTGCACAAAGAGACCGCCGGAAACCGACCTCCGGCATACCTGAGACGAATCCGGCAAGACAGAAACGGATCCACAACAATAAAAACTCAATCAATCCAACAATCTTGACCTGCTGTATTTCAGTTTTGTACGTTTTTTACTTTGAAAAATAAACAATTTATTAAAGGGAAAGTTCCCTAAATAGGACTGAAACAGCTTGAAAATTCCGAAATAGGACCGTCATGTTTTTTATTCCCAAAATAGGAGTAATTACTGCCAAGTTTGGAAAATACTGTCATGTTTGAAGTCTGGTACTGCCAAAATATGACATTAATTAGTCATATTTTTGGAATAAAAACATGACAGTCCTATTTTGGAATTTTCAAACCTTTTTAGTCCTATTTTGGGTAAATTCTCTTTATTAAACTTCTAAAAATTCATAAAGAATGAATTCTAAAAATAGAAAAATAAGTTCAAAATTAAAATCTTTTTTTAAATTAAAAAATGAAAAAAAATCATACTATCGTTTAACAATGTATTTTTTTAGAATATACAACTCATTCAAAAGAAGGTCAAAACGTATAGATTTTGACATCCTGATTGGTTTATAGGTAGGGAGTTCCATTTAGAAGTTGACATGTCTAGTTTAGTTTATGTGGTTATTGGTTCAATTTAATGATTTTGGTAATTCTTTAAGAATTATATCCCCCACCCGCCACCCCTCTCTCATGGGAATTTAGATGCAAGGTATGATTTATGAAAGTCGATCACCGGCCTGCCATCATGTGAAAATACCGGACTGATTTTGGAGGGGAGTGAAGGGGAGGGTTCTTATTTAAATTTAAAATAATTTTTACATTTAGACAAATTGAAATAAAATGAGAACACAATAGTATATAAAAATACATGGTTTAACTAATTATATATTTATTTGTAGTCAAAAACTAACAAATTCAGATAAATTAATAAAGTAAAAAATTAATCCTCCCCTTCCCTCCCCTCCAAAATCCCCCAACCATACAGGGGTTAAACTTTAAATTTAGGAGCCCGTTTGGTAGCACGAAAATCGGCTGTTTTGGCTGAATCTGCTGAAATTTATGAAGTTCTGGCTGAAGTGGCTGTTTTGGCTGTTTCTGCTGTTTTAAGTAAAAATTATTTTTAAAATATATTTTATTAATAAAATAAATAAAAAATTATATGTAAAAATAGTTAAAATGATCATCTACAGTAACTTCAGCCAATACAACCAGAAAAGTAACTCCGACCTTACTTTTTCTGATTATGACACAATTCAGTGCGCGAAAGTAAAAGTTACGTGTTTGGTGAAAAAGTTGGCTGATAAGCGTGATAAGCTGAAAAAATGATGTTACCAAACGGCCTCTAGGTTGTTTTATACTCCGTATATCATAACACATTTGGAGATGCGTGTGTTTCTATAACATTTCACTTGTAGAAGCAAATAGATTTGATCTTAAATCTTATAGGCAGGTAAGATACAAAAGTATAAGTAAATACGGAGTATAATGTACTCATTTGATTTTTCCTTTCTTCATGTTACAAACTCTTTTGGGATTGCAGCTTGAATATTCTTGTTTATTGTTGATGTCTCCTTTCTTCACTTCGTTATAGACTGGGCAAGTACATTCAAGTTGGCAATTTAAATTGGACAATGAATAGCAGATGCACAATCCTCAATGGACAAAAACATTCAAGACAATAGAACTCAGTTTCGAAGAAATGCCTCAAAATTGATCCAATAGTTTAAATTCTCAAAATTTTATCTTCAAATAGAATAGACCAACTACAATGACAATTTTTTCCTTGTTATATACCTGTATTTATTTTCTTGTTGGGGGTATGAAGAGAAGAGAATTCCCCTACCAAAAAACGTTTGGCGTTGTTTACATCAATTCCAATTACTTCTCGATATTTCTTGCTTAAGGTTGGACTGTGTAATTCTGCATTTCTGCCCCAGATGAAGAGCTTCAGCCGGACAAAATCTTGTTGTAATTTAGCAGAGGGGAAAATAATTAAAACACCCCAAACTTTGAAGGGGTGTGAGATGAGTATCCCAAACTTGCATATGTAATTTTAATACCCCAAACTTTAAATAAAAAGTTACTTAATCACCATAGTTAAGTATTATTTCTTTCAAAAATGTAATAAACTTATGGTGTTAATTGCATAATTTAAAATATTTTAGAATTCATGAAGGCACAATTAGCATTCTAAACTTCTATTGCGAAATAAATAACATTACTCCCAATCTATATAATTGCAACACTTTTACTTTTCTATTTCAAATTATGCAATTAACTCCATAAATTTACATTTTGGAAATAAATAATACACGAAAATGGTGCAAAAATAACATTTTATATAAAGTTTGAGATATTTAAATTACAAATGCAAGTGTTTACCTCACATCCCTTTAGCAGATTATAAATAATACCCTCGGCTTCCTATTTATAGAGAAATTGGATGAGTGGATGATACAGACAGAAGCTTAGGTGGAGCTGCCAAACATTAAGTGCTGTTTTGGGAATCTATACGACTATACATATGTTGTTTGTTTAGTTAATTAACCCATTTAGAAGCCTTCTTTTTATAAAGAGGGCTGAGCATACGACATAAGTAATTATGCCAGGATCTATTTATTAACATATTTTGGAATTCTCTGTTCGCATGCATTAATCGCTTCATTGGGGAA